ACATTGTCCAATTTATACCCCACATGGCCAAACTGCTGCGGACACGTGACCACACAATCCCCCTCACCGTCCCATTGCAGATCCATGGACCTTAATATGGAGCCCCCCCCCATGGCCTTTAATCTAGACTTGGCCCCATTTGTGGCTATAACAGCTTCCGCTCTTCTAGGGAAACTTCTACAAGATTTTGGAGGTTGTCGGTGGGAACTTGTGACCTTTTGTGAGTTAGGTACGGATGTTGGATGATAAGAACCTCAGGCTCCATGTTGGTTGCCAAAAAAAAGCCACTTGGGTCTCCATTGGCATTTAAATTTATAACAAAGTTATTCATTTGGATGAGGTCAGGACTCTGTGCAGGACACTCGGGTTCCTCCACCAAACTGGCCAAATCATGTCTTCATGGATCCAATCAATCGCCAACTCACATCAACTTTTCTGATTGGGCTCCTAACCATCTCCCATCTCTCCTCACCCTCCATGATTGGGCTCCTCACCATCTCCCATCTCTCCTCACCCTCCATGATTGGGCTCCTCACCATCTCCCATCTCTCCTCACCCTCCATGATTGGGCTCCTCACCATCTCCCATCTCTCCTCACCCTCCATGATTGGGCTCCTAACCATCTCCCATCTCTCCTCACCCTCCATGATTGGGCTCCTCACCATCTCCCATCTCTCCTCACCCTCCATGATTGGGCTCCTCACCATCTCCCATCTCTCCTCACCCTCCATGATTGGGCTCCTCACCATCTCCCATCTCTCCTCACCCTCCATGATTGGGCTCCTCACCATCTCCCATCTCTCCTCACCCTCCATGATTGGGCTCCTCACCATCTCCCATCTCTCCTCACCCTCCATGATTGGGCTCCTCACCATCTCCCATCTCTCCTCACCCTCCATGATTGGGCTCCTCACCATCTCCCATCTCTCCTCACCCTCCATGTTTGGGCTCCTAACCATCCATCTCTCCTCATCCTCCATGATTGGGCTCCTCACCATCTCCCATCTCTCCTCACCCTCCATGATTGGGCTCCTAACCATCCCCCTCTCCTCACCCTCCATGATTGTGCTCCCCACCATCTCC